AGATAAGTTATTTACAACCCAAGGCGTCTCAGATAAAAAAGTTTTCCTCATTATTCTTTTCCTCGATAACTTCTGTAAACAAATGAATTCATTGCTAAATACTCGTATTTATATTTTCAAGTCACATGAATGTCAGAATTATGATTTTAATCTCATAACTATCATTAGAATATCATAGAACAAAATTACAATAGAAATCCTAACATTTACAAATAATAAATGTATATCTATATATATAATTAATCATGATTTAGAAAACTTTAGTAGACGTATGTACACTATTTAACCTTTTATTTAACTTTACCTGTATATTAGTAGCTTTCAAATGTGACCACCATGAGGACGAAGTCGCGGGCAAAAGCTAGTTTAGTTATAAACTTGAGGGATATACCTAAAAGATTGCTAGATAAATTCAAAATGAATTGCAGTTTTCAATGAAATCTTTTCTTATAATATGAAAAGGTTACAGTCGGGCCAAACCTAGATTAATCTATCTGATCCTGCTCACTTTTCGAAGCAATAGTTTTGGCGAGGACGATGAGTAAGTAAAAAGTGTGCCAGGGCTCGGCGATTTCATATAAAAATGGTATCTTTTTTTTTGGCATAGGAGGCAAACCAGTAGAAGATAAACGGGTCAAATAATGGTAAGTGACTACCGCTGGCCATGGCGATCTGCAACTCAAGAGTCACGAGAGTTGCAGACTGGCCTGTTGGTCTAGTGTTTAGTGACCGTGACTCCTACGCTAGAGGTCGTGGGTTCGATTCCCACCCAGGACAAATAATTGTGTGATGAGCACGGTCATTTGTTCTGTGTCTGGGTGTACTTTATTTATAATATGTATTTATTTAGAAATATATAAGTACGTTTATCAGCAGTCTGGTTGCCATAGTACAGGCTCTGCCTAGTTTGGGATCAGACGGCCGTGTGTGAAATGTGTGAAAATATTATTATATTATTTGACTCTACCCCCCGGCTTCAGGGGCACGGTGGTTTGGGCTCCGGTAACCACTCGGTGAAAAGTAACGCTATGAGGTCGTGGTATCATGCAGGTTGAGTCTGGTCTATATGTGTCGAAGCATGGTTATCCCACGGTAAAATCAGCTGTATTATTATTGATGAAAGGTCTAGTGCAAGTTTATTTCACATCAGCTCGCTTGTCACGGTGACAGCGTTCGGCATGCCATTGGCTCGCACTGAAATCTTCACAACGCCAAACGCGCTCGCTAACGAGAGCGAGATGATGTGAAATAAACTTACACTAAACTCTCTGACAACATTTAAACAATGAGTACCGTTAAACATATTTTAGATTTCAACCGGCACTGTAGTATCTAATTTAGAAATTATACTAATTTGTCAAATACAAGGGACTCAAAGTAAACTAACTCTGGGGAAAGGGAAGGACGTGTTAGATTATAGCCACCAATTAATTTATATCAAAAATATGATTGCTTCAATCACCAACAGCCTATAACAGTCCACTGCTGGACATAGACCTCTCCTTAGAAAGGAGAGGTCTATGTCCTTATGATTGCTTAGTTCAAATTAATATCAGTGAACCGAGCAGATTGTAGGCTTCCGTTCATATTACATAGTCATGTTCAATCGATTGGTATTGCTGTAACATGGTATAGCATGATTTGCCGTTCCAGATATATGTCTCGAATACTTTTAAAAGTAAATTGGTGTAAGTGGTGTAAGTAAATTATAAATAAGCTGTATTGAGATTGTTGAAACCGCAGGTGTAGTATCTATTTAGCTAATTTTGTTCCTTAATTTGATTACTGACCTATTAATTATTTTTTTAAATTTCCCTCGTGTTACTATTGATGAATGTTTTGACATCTTAAAATGCTGTGCATTTAAGCTAGTTTTTAGTAAATTTTTGTTTCCTATGTATAAGATTTAATGTAACAACAACTGGTTGTCCTTAGTAGACAAATAAATAAAAATCTACGTCCCTTATTATGCTAGTATAGACACGACACTATCACACTGGTGTCATTGTTTATCTCATACCTACATTGGACTAGGCATTTATTGTCTGTGGAATCATTTATAACTTCTATTTTCTTGTTAAACATGTCTATCAGGTAGATAGGTGAAATAATTATTTCAATAATTAATGTAATCTACATGGTTAATGAAACAATCTAGGTATGAATTCAAAATAAACAGCATATTATACATCTGCAAAAGAAAATATTGATTTTGAATTAAACACAATGTGCTAGGACGCGTTCCCATTGTGTTGCAACGATAGTCAGTCGTTTTATCTTAGATTTGTAGGAATAATCAAATGGAGTTCACATACACTATGCGGCGAGATTATGTGCCTGTTATTTTTAATTTGAGGTCACAGACTGACTAAAATACACTCACTAACGATAAATTAAACGTTTTCATCTGACGTCGTAGTTAAGTAAACATTTCATTTCATAGTCTAAAACCTAAAATTCTCTACTTGGTTTTTCTACTATCTTTTCTTTTTAGACTGTGAAGGAGACTCTTTCTTTTAATTTGGTGAAAATTAAGAGAGCTAGTACAGCCTACTAACTTTTAAAAGCACGTAGAGACGACTATCCGACTGCTGCTGAAATCGTAACGGTTTAATACACAGCGTCATAGTGTGGATACATAGTCGTGACAATTTGAATATTTAAGAACGTCATAGTAGGCCAAAAGGCTTATGTCGAGCAATGGACTGCTAAGGATAGTATAATCAGTCATTCGATGATAAGGTATAGCTTTACGACATAGCGGGAACTCACCCTTACAGGGATCATTGAATTGGAATAATTGTTATTGTGATTGGTATCGCTATAGTTTATGATTATGTTAATACGCACATAACGATCTGATCTAAATTCATGATTATAAACATGTTAGAGGTGGAACGAATATATATTGTGATAATTGTAGATTGCAACACTTTTCTAAGCAAAAAACAAATAAATACACCGCCTTAAAAATTGACCTTAGCAATGAAATTCAGATACACCATGCTTTCTGGTCAAAGTTGAATGAGGAAACTCCATAACTCAGTCTACCTACTCAATGCATGATTAAGGATAAACAACGGGAAATGTTGAGGTTGAAGAAGCTCGCCAGATAAAACCAAAACATTTTATATATCGAAGTTCTCCAGACCTGGGAAAGGAAAATGAGGATTAACTGAAGAAAGGGCAGGTCAAATGTTGCCGAAAGAGACAATAAGAGAAAGCTAATCCCTACTAATATTATAAATGCAAAAGTAACTCTGTCTGTCTGTCTGTCTGTTACGTTTTCACGCCTAAATCGCTGAACCGATTTTGATGACACTTGGTACAGAGATAGTCTAGAACGTAAGAAAGGACATAGGCTACTTTCTAATTCGAAAAAAGGGCTCTAAGGGGTAAAATAGGGGATGAAATTTTGTATGGCAATTACGTCATTTTTAAAACTAGAAGCTTGAAACTTATTTTCTAGGCTTTTGATTAGATATAAATAAATACAACATTCAAAGTTTTTTAAAGCTTTCGTTTTGTCGTAGTTTTTTTGGAAATAATTAAAGTTAATGTCAGACTATGTCAAAAAATAAATATACATATATGGATGAAGATTTGACAATTTTTTTATATTCCACATTTAAAATGTGAATACAATTTATTTTTAGAATTCAAACCTATAAACAAATATATATACATATATGTATGTACTTTTGTCAACATTTCAATGTCTTGATCGAATCATTTAATGAAGCAGGCAATCGTATGTCATTTGCTTTGTTGTTTAGGTTGTAATGATTAGTTTAGCAAACGCATTTTTAATAGTTTTTTTTTAGTTCCGGTATAGTTAATAGGTAAAATAAAATAGTTTAATTCATTTTTAGGATAGGTATAAATTAGTAGTAGATTAGTAGGTTTTTTGTCAGTTTATTCACTTTTAGTAGTTACGTGGTATCTAAGTAGGTCAGGATAGTTTTGATTAAGTAGTTTAGCATTTTATTTTATCGATTCGTTTTGTTTTTATTTCATGTGCATAGTACCTATCTTAAGTATAGTTTCGTACTAAGTATAACTAAGATTTTTTATAAAACAGCTTTATCTCAGCTAAAAAAATATATTTCGCATATTTTTATACCAATACTTATTGCTTCCAATATTATTATGCCTCGCAAGCGTAAATCTGATCTAGCTCGTAGCTCTAAAAGAGCTCGAACTGCGCAAGTAGCTAGATCCCAAGAATCTGAGGAGCAGATTCAGGCCCGTCACGTTTTAGATGCCGCGCGGCACTTAGCTCAAAGGGCTGCCAAGACCTTAGAACAGACTCAGGCCCGTCACGTGTCCCTTATTCCGCTATTCTATCGAAAATATTTAACACCCATATAAATGTTGAGGCTTGCAGTTTAGTGCGCGCCATCAAATATATCTGCAAACATATTAATAAAGGCAGTGATCAAGCCATTTTCAATTTTAGGAACACAGAGCTTGAAAATCGCGTAAATGAAGTACATACATACCAATCTGGTCATTATGTTAACAGCAACGAAGCACCCCACCGTTACACATCTAAGTGTTCACTTAGAGAATGGTGAACGGGTTTATTTTACAGAAGATAATTTCCACGAGCGACTATCTACTCGACCAAAAACCACAGTTACAGCTTTTTTTTAACTTTGCACAAGAGATGAGTTTGTAAGAACTCTTATGTATGCTGAGGTACGGAGGTATTACACATGGGACGCAACCAGAAAAGCTTCGAAACGCCGAATTCAAGGAACTTCTGTTCAGAACTGGCCTGGTGTCAAATCTGGAGATGCTTTAGGACGAGTTTATACAGTCCATGTTACTAACATGGAATGTTTTTATTTAAGAATACTTCTACACCATGTACGTGGTCCAACCTCTTTCAATAATTTCGAGAGGCATGTGAGCCAAGAGGATTGTTGGAGGATGACAATCATTGGAATATAACACTGGAAGAGGCTGCACAATGTAGATCAGCGGCCAAGGTGAGAATGCTTTTTACTATACTAATAGCGACATGTGGGCTTTCAAACCCTCAACAACTGTGGGAAAAGTACAAAATTGAAATGTCAGACGATATTTTACACAGATTACAAGAACATAATCCGAACGTTACATACAATGATTTCATTTTTAATGAAGCCCTAACAAAGATAGAAGACCAAGTCATAACTATAACTGGGAAAGATTTGTCAGATTTTGGGATGAGCAGGCTGCAAAGAACTGGAGAAGTTTGCAGTGATATAGTAAGAGAATTGAGTTACGATGCTGCATCTTTACCACAACACATAACAGAGGCTGTTCCACGTCTAAACCCAGAACAAAGATTAGTTTTTGAAAATGTTGTGTAAAAAATTGAAAATGGCGAAGGTGGTTTATGGTCTACCTAAAGTCTACCTATGTTACTCCTAAAGATTCAATGTATCCTTATACCAGCTTCATTAAAATCGGTCCAGTATAGTTTTAGAGCCTATTCATTACAAACAAATTTACCCGAAGTAGTAGTTCTACGCAGGCGAAGTCGCGGGTAACAGCTAGTAAATCCATACTTCCTTACTTATATTAGGTCTTTGCCTATGAAATTAGAGATTTGTATAAAAATTTTCAAATCAAAAAATTTGGTTATTTTTTTATTTGCTAATCAAAGTACTGAACCAAATTGTCTACACAATATTGCCATGTTGATGGCAGTTTGTTTATTCTTTTACTGTAGAAGTCTGAAGGACTGGAGGCGATGAAGTCAGCAAAAGCGTTTTGAAAAAAAGTATAAATCTGTTGCGGCAAGGTCCGTTGAGTAAGGTGGGTGACGGAGAGCTTCCAGCTGTAACTCTTGCAATGGTCTGTCGTAAAGCTTGTGCGTTTTCGTGAAGGAGCGGAGACGAATGGGGAAGAGCGATTGAGCAGACGTGGTTGTTGAATTACAGGCTTCTCCATCACTGTTTGCAATTTTTGGCAATAGACATCTGCCGTCACTGTTGTGCCATGCGGTAAGAAGCTGTGATATACAAGTCCGGCACTCGTCCATCAGACAGTCACAATCAGTTTCCTATGGGTAATCTTTTTTGTACCCGGGTCCACCCACTGAGGCGAAAGCTTACGGACAACCGTAACTTTGACCATATTCTTTAACTCAAAATTTCCATTATGATATCGCACAAGCCACTGTCATTCCATTGACACCCTTTTGAGATGCCATTGAGACGCCATTGACATTGGTCCAAAAAATCAGGATTCTGCTAACATAAATTCACAGTATCAATAGACTGTCGATGTAGTGACAATGGCTCATCAATGGTGATATTAACAATATTGCCATATCAGGCAAATTAATTACATAGTCACCTTACAAATTTAAAATGTACTTTTTACCAAACTATTACAAAAACATGGACGACTTTTGTATCAGTGGCAGTTTAGTAACAAGTCATCGTTGCCACAGTTCGTTGCCACACATCGGTCGTTTAGTGACAGGCCATTGACCTTAAATAGTCACTAGAATACGAAAAGTGCAAGACTATTCCGATAACATTCCAATGACACTCTATTAATACAGAATTAAAATAGATCTACAACGATTGAACTAATAATGTACCGTGTTTATGTTAGCAGTGTTAGGCTTGTACACGTCGTTATTGTTTCGTGTTGTTTGCGCAGCGATATTTCCACGTACTCATTAAAGCAACTCATTTTCGAAAATTGTACGAATTTTCAGTTTAGCCATGAAGCCAAAATAACCACCACCGATTAACAAAGACAAAACAAATGGCTGACTTTTAAATTTAAATAACATGGCTTTCGAATAAAGTTTATTTGAATTTCGAATTGCGCGCTAATCCACAGATAATTAAATCTAAAAATGCTGGTTTTAAAAACTTTACCTTCATAGGTAAAGAGCTATTATTATGTATGTAAAAGTGAGTTTGTTTGTTTTTTTACGCTTTCACGCTTAAACCACTAAACCAATTTTAAAAATTCTTTCACCAGCTACATTATGAGTGAGTAACATAGGCTACTTTATACCGCGATAACCGGCATAGGCGTGAGCAGAGTCGCGGGCAAAAGCTAGTTATAATATATAGATAAAAGCAAGTAGTAAACTATTGCATATGCCTGAATACACATTTGATTATAAATATACCTTTGACTGACCGGTTGGCCTACTGGTGAGTGATCCTGACGGCTAAGTTCGTGGTCGTGAGTTTGACTCCCACCCAGGACAAATATTGCTTGATGAGCACCGTCATTATCTGGATGTAATTTATCCATGCTTCTTTTGTATATAGAAATGAATTGTTGTTCATTGTGTCCGTTTCATAGAAATCATTACCTATAGATTAGCTGTTCAACTTATATATAAGTTTACCTAAATTTAAATGTTTGATATTAACTCGAAGGTATTCCATACTAACTTAAAACTTATTTATCCATACTAACTTAAAACTTATTAAGTGCGAAAAACTTCTTTGTTGTATGACTTTCGAAATATTTAAGTCGATTTTCAAATAAAGACAATAATTTATTTCTAAATGATTTCACTGTTAATCTAATTAAATCAAGACACGAGATAAGAAAATCACTAGTCATCAACGTTAGCGATAGTATCACGATAGATCAAAACATTTATCAAAATTTTTATATCAATAAGATTCTTTAACTCAATTCCCGAACTCTGTGGGCAATATTCAGTAATATTGATACGAGAATTTGCAAATATACGAAAAATATTCTCTTGGGGAAGGATTGCTCATAATATCCTTCAAGAAATGGCTTTTACGACGTGCAAGGGTATCGAGAGATACGGAATAAGAATATTCTATTGAAGTTATGCAAGGTCCACGATAGTGATTTCTTATAAACATCTCATGAATATGATGCCTTAATAAAATCTTTTTCAACCTTAAAATTGTGTAGGTATGTTGGATATCGATAATGCAGTTTGTTTTTTTATTCCTATGAGTGTCTGTTCTTGTCGATATTTTATTTAAAGCTCAATAATGAAAAAAAGTGTGTGAAAAAAGTCTTTGCTAAAAGAAATTAGTCAGTGTTTTATTTCTTATTAGAAAACATAGAATGCAAACATAGATATGAAATTGTAAATTTACAAGGTTAAATGAACTGCACCTGTCATCTGAAATATTTATACGTAATTCAGTTTTATAAAATAAAATCATAGTCTACTACTAGAATTACATTTACCTTTGAGAAAACTCTCCTATTGGGTCCCAAACTAGCAATACATCCGCGAAAGAAACGTCAAACAAAGATTTGTCTCCTAGACCATAAAACAAATAATTATCTAAAACGACATATTTCACTAATCACAGTTAAAACTAATGTATTTTCATATGCTTGCTATGTGAGGGTATAGATAACTAGACGTCCAAGACGGAAACGGGTAGGTTTCACCGCTCTACAGTGATATTCCGATTTTAATCTCTTCGAATACCGCTACTACAAACAGAATATCCTGCGATGGGCGGTTTATATTTATTTATATCAAACACGACATAATTTTACTCTTACCGAAATTTGTATTTTAATAGTATAATTATGAATACTAAACTAACTGCACTCAATTAACTCTGTTTCTGTAATCGTGTAGTAAATTCATATTCTATGTAATAATAGTACTAGAGAAAAGTTGGCATGACATGATCGAAATTTCAACCGTTGAGCAAAACCGCGTATAAACGATGCATAATGCGGTGAAATGTGACACGATCATGCTGATATATTGCCAGGAAACCCGTCAAGATTAATTTATACGACAGTTGTGGTATCACATACAGTGTCCTTTCATTACTTTGATTTTTTTAATGCTGCACAGTGTAGCCTAATGAATCCAAACCTTGTTATGTTTTGTATACCTATTAGTTTTCAAAGGCGTCAAACGTAGCGAAGGCCCGTCACACCCATGGTAATTTATTCCATGTGTTGGTGCTATCAGTGTTTCATTCTGAGTCGATTTTATATTGCATGATGATGGTCTTGATAGCCTCGGTGTAAAACGATATTTTTAATATTTTATGTGGCTCAAATTAGTATTCTGAGTTACCTAGAGATGACTGTGTCTTTATCATAAAACGACCGCAAAGCATACCGCTTCTAATGGATGAAGATTTGGGTACGTGGCATTAAATTTTAGTGACAAAACTTAACTAGCAAGAATTTACTACCGGTTCCTCAACTCATACCTACCAATAAGCTTTGATGAAAGTTAATGACTCTTGATTAGTAAAGGCAGTAACTACGATCACACGCCGGAACATCTTCGAGTTGATTAATTGAGTTGAGTAACTTTCTGTAATCTGTGGGCGACATTGTAATATTAGCCCAGGAAATGTAAAATTGAACCAGAAAATGTAATTTTAAATTTGATTCGCCTTTAATTTTACGCTCTAGTTCAAGTTTATGCATAACTTAATGTTCTGACAGCATTTTGATTAAGTGCCGAATAAAGTACTACTGATTTTATTTTGTTAGAAATGCCAAAATAAATTGTTGATATAAATTAATTAATATTAATCTATTTGTAAAATTGGACGATTGAGTTTGATGAAATTGAAATTTGATTAATATAAGGTTGGAAATGTTTGCAATATTATCGGAAAAGTGAAACATCGTAAAGTTTGGGCAACATTAACCAATTAAGAACAGAAATGAATTATCTCACTTGTAAGACGTCCGAAAATGCGTCTGCCTTGTTCGTATAATATGTGACAATGCTGACTGAAGAAAGAAGACTGCAGAGATATTTTAATGAACAAGTTAAAGAGCCGTACGGACCTCGTGTTATTAAAAAATAAATAAAATTATAACAAAGTTCTTCACTGCCTAAATCAAAGCGCTTTTCAAAGAGACCCTGAAGGTCTCATTGAAAAGCGCGTGGAATAAAAAGTGTCATTTAATTATAGAGACTTTACAATCTCGCTGCTTCGCTTTGAATCTGTTAAATTAGTTTACATATTTCATCGTACTCGTTCATACATCGTTACTTTAAAACCAATAAAATAATCATTTCATTAATTCCATTCCGAAGCACAAGGTTAATTTGTCACTGAACCGTTTTGATCAATTCACGGGAATATTAACTTAACTACTAAATAACTAACGGTAAACTCAACCAACGAGATATTTCTCATAAACTGAAACTGAAACTACAGAAAACTATGACAACAAGAAAGACAGGTTACACGTTAACCCTCGTCTACCTCTGAGAATCTCGTCTATTATAATTATAATTATTTATATTATTAAATGAAACTATAAACCAGAACTCCATTTAATCTCAGTGTAAAAGTCAAACCACCTTAATAGACATTATACGACTATCTCGCTAAGGCAATTTTCA